GGAGCTGTAAGCAGGATAGCAAAGCTCTGCTCTTCTGGAAGCTGCAGTGAAGAACCCAGGATCTGATCAGTTGTCATAAGGTAATAAATTTTTACCAGCCAGGCTCCCGGCCTCCTTCTCTATGTGGAATCTGATCAAGTGGACAGGAAAAATCACTGTTTCTTTTCCCTCTCCAAAATCTTGATTAATGGGAGAAGAGGATTTGTGTGACTAGTCTTGGGTGTAGTGACTCTGGTGTGCTTTTTGGTACTTTGTGGTACCAATTCAAATTGTTTAATCCCTTTCTTCCCAGAAATTGTCTGTTCCTTTGTCTTTGTCTCTATCTGTTATTCTGTCATAAAAGGGGGTACTGGTTGAGGTTCCTTCTCATCTTATTTGATGCCCTTGAGAGCTTGATTTGTGACCAAGTGGGAGCATTTTCTCTTGTTTTCCCCTATCTGGTAAGAGGTGGTAACTTTCAGGTTATAGTAGGTGGCCTGTCTGAAAATGGCTGGGAACCCGAGCACACTTTTTGTTCTGACTATGTCAAGTTCTTGGGGTTTGTCTTAAGAAATCTCATCCCTTCGAGGCTTTTGTCATCTTAACTCTTATTGCCTGATTAGTCCTAAGAAAGCTCAATCCCAAGAGGGCCTACATGGTATCACAGACTCACAAGTCTGTGACTGGAAGCCCCCACAAATATGTGGGTTGCTGGAGACAAGTATCATCCTTAACCATCTGTGGCCTACTCCTTACATTGAAATTTTCTCTTGGAGGGCAATCTTTGGGATTGCCTCTTCTATGACCTTCCCAGGAAGTTAACCTGGAAAATGACATCCTGGGCTTTCCACAAAGAGGCTATTTGGTTGCATTGCTATTGGAATAATTACACCATTGGAAATTCTAGTTGCCAGTGGACTGAAGATGGATCCCTTAAATTAGACACTTGAATTTAAAAAAAATTAGAGATCTCTTATTTTAAAAAGTTGATGGAAGATCAAGTTAAAAGAAAGGCACATGCTAGTGTCATAGCTACCCTTAAAATGCTCTATCTTGCAGTTCAGTACTTAAAGTTCTGTGCTTTTGCTGCCATAGCCTGGGTTCAATTTCCAGTCAGGGAATCAGTTTATTTTGGCTTGATATTTGTGTGGCTTTTGATTTTTTGGAATACCCATTTATTGATCCTTTCCCCTTTCATGGGCAGGTTTTGTTTGTTTGTTTGTTTGTTTATTAAGACGGGGTCTCACTCGATCACCCAGGCTGGAGTGCAGTGGTGCAATCTCGGCTGAATTAATCAAGGACCTATGGCTTCCAACACCATCAGTTGCCTGTACTCAGCCACCTTCAGCAGTGCTATCTGGCTCTAGTGAGCAATAGCATTCCAGGAGAGGAGAGAAAGCTGCACAAAGGCCTGGTTTTTGTGTCCCCCCATCTAGACAGACATAGTAGCATGCAGGGACAAAGCGAAAGAGAAGAGTAGGCAGAGACAATGTGAATCTGTTCACCGCATATTGTAAATGCATTTAAAAATATTCTTAGCTCATATTTGCAGGTAGCACTAACTATGAAGTTGTTGGACTGAGGACTTTATTTGTGACTCTCACCATCTTCAAAGTCAGCAATGAAGGGTTTCTTCCTCATTGAATCACTAACATATTTTGGATCTCTCTGACTTCCTAGTTCACTGACCTCTGACCTCTAGACCCAGACTTTAAAGGCCCGTGTTATTACATTAGTCAACCTTTATAATCTCCCCATTTTAAGGTTAATTTAATTGTATCTGCAAAATCCGTTTGCCATGCAATGTAACGTAATTATGTAATCAGCAACCATAAGAAAGCTGAAGTGAGTTTTAAACCAACCCAATTGTCCCCTAGAACTGATGTTTACGGTTTCTTTTGAATAAACATATAAATTGACCCTTTCAGTCTTGAAATTTGAGAAAGTTACATTTGTATTATCTGAGTTCCTTTCTCAGGAAAGCAACCATCCGGCCTTCCAGATAGTATCAAAGAACTGAAATTTACCAGCGTACCACATCTGGACAATGAGATGTCAGACCCCTTATTCCATCATAATTGCCTAAGTGACCACATGCTTCCTGTTGACCAGTTCCTCTTTCTTACCTCTCTGTAATTCCTGTTTTCCTGCATGTAGTTCCATTTCTTCCCTGCTATCTAAACTCTGAATTTTCGTTGATCAAGAAGATGGATTTGAGACTGATCTCCCATCTCCTAAGTTGCGGTACCTGATGAAAGCCTTTTTCCCTGGCAATACTAGTTGGTTCAGTGATTGGCTTTCTGTGCAGTGAGCAGCAAGTATTAAGTCAAACCTCGGGTGTTTCAGTAACAATTATCCTAATACCAGACAAAATAAACAAGAGACTTTAAGACAAAAAAGTTACCAAAGACAATGAGGAATATTTTGTAATGATAAAAGGGTTAATCCATCAGGAAGAGAGTACAATTATAAATACACATGCATCTAACAGAGCCTCAAAATGCAGGAAGTAAAAACTGACAGTATTGAAGAGAGAAATAGACAATTTAACAATAGTAGATGGAGACTTTAATACCACAACTTTCAATAATGGATAGAGCAACTACGCAGAAGACCAATAAAGAAATAAAAGATTTAAATAACATAACCTACCAGACATCTATAGAATACTCCACTCAACAGAAACAGAATACACTTCCTCTCAAGCACACATGGGACGTTCTAATGAATAGACCATATGCTAGCCCTTAACATAAATCTTAATAAATTTAAAAGGACTAAAATCATATAGCTTCTGATATATCTCATAAACTAATACTATTAAACACTATAGTTTCAGGTTGGCATGTAGGGTATGCAGTTTGTTGGTCCTGCTTCCTTCCGTTTGTCATGAATGTGGAGGTGACCATGGTTACACATGTGTAGGCCAGTAGCCCAGGAAAGTCAGGCAGCTGAAGGGAAAGGACAGATATTCCATAAGAGTCTCCCTATCTCAGTCTCACAAAACCAGGGAGGAATTGATACATAGGAAGCGAAGAGGTATATCAGAGGATCACTTCTCTTCTGTCTATCTATGCCTGTCTTTAAAACCTCAGTTTCTCTCCCACTAAACCCCATTGCACAGGAATGCTGTTGATCACCACCAACCACCACAGACTCATGACCTTGATTTTTACCATGATCTGTCTGAGAATATATCCTCAGGCCAATGGCTTTGGCTCAATGCAAATCATTAGTGTTCCATAAAAACTGCTTCAAACATATAGTTACAGTTTATAAATCATTCCAAATTAGGTGGCCATTACATGTATTTAAAGAGATATACATACATTATTTCAGTGATTGTGATAAATTGGAAAGAAAGCCTGTGGAGTTAGAATGAAAATCATAAGTGACAAGCAAAAAATATGTATATAGAGATTATAACACAAAGCAACCCACACATAGAAGAGGAAATTGGAGTTAGGAGTTATGAATATCAAACTTGTCCTCAAGTTAAGTGAAAAGCCAACATGGGCCAGGTGTGGTGGCTCACGCCCATAATTCCAATACTTTGGGAGGCCAAGGTGTGAGAATAACTTGGGTCCAGGAGTTTGAGACCAGCCTGGGCAACATAGTGAGACCCCATACACAAACACACACAAAATAGCTGAGGGTGGTGACATGTACCTGTAGTCTGAGCTGTTCAGGAGGCTGAAGCAGGAGGATCCCTTGAGCCTGGGAGTTTGAGGTTGCAGTGAGCTGTGATCATGCCATTGCACTCCAGGTTGAGCAGCAAAGCTAGACCCTGTCTAAAAAAAAAGAAAAAGAAAAAACCTAACATGGGTCCCCAGTGGGGGAAAAGATGCCACTATAACATTGGTTTGCAGCAAGAAGTATATTAAGACACTGACCAAAATCCTTGTATTACTTATTTTGCTTTTATTTTTTGAGACAGGGTCTCACTTTGTCATCCAGAATGGAGTGCAGTGGCATGATCTTGGTTCACTGCAGCAAAAAACACTTGAACTCAAGCGATCCTCCTACGTCAGTCTCCTAAATAGCTGGGACTACAGACACGCCACACTATGCCCGGCTAATTTTTTTTTTCTTTTTTTTTGAGGTGGAGTCTCACTCTGTTGCCCAGGATGGAGTGTAGTAGCGCTATCCCCATTTACTGCAAGCTCTGCCTCCCGGGTTCACGCCATTCTCCTGCCTCAGCCTCCCAAGTAGCTGGGACTACAGGCACCCGCCATCACACCCGGCTAATTTTTTGTATTTTTAGTAGAGACGAGGTTTCACTGTGTCAGGCAGGATGGTCTCCATCTCCTGACCTCATAATCCACCCGCCTCGGCCTCCCAAAGTGCTGGGATTACAGACATGAGCCACCATGCCCAGCCCTATGCCCGGCTAATTTTTAAAAATTGTTTGTAGAGGCAGGGTTTTGCCCTGCTGCCCAGGTTGGTCTCAAACTCCTGAGCTCAAGTGATCCGACCACCTTGGTCTCCCAAAGTGGTGGGATTACAGGTGTGAACCACTGCACCTGGCCTCTAAATCCATATAAATCAATTATTCACACTCTGAGCAGAATATTCAGGATTTTTTTTCTTATAATATAAATGATGTGGAAAACTGGAGGACCAAAGAAGAACATCAAGACTATCTAAAAGTGTTAAATTTTTCATTAAGAAGAAAATGACTTCATGACAGTCCTTAAGACAACGATAGAACTTGAGGAAATATGTATTCCTTGATGTTGTCTATGCATTTGCCATAATAAACAATGAAAATATGGTTAAATTTTAGAAAGAGATAGGCCTATGGTATTGTCACAAGAGTATACAAGTACTGAGAATGACTGCTGAGGGAGTGGTCTCCATTGGTGGTGACCTTCAGAAGAGACCTTGTGTTTCCACATGGCCTAGACACCTGGAAGGCAGAGATCCTAACATTCCATGACACCCCCACCTTCTAATTCTGTTATTGTGACTCCAGACTGTTACCTGGCACTGAGTCTTACCTCTGGCATTCCTATCAGAGCCTGAACCACAGAAAGTACCTTAGATTCTAAGCTCAGGCACTTTGTGCCTTGTTTTTGTGGCTGAGGATTCTCAGAGTTGTGGGATGCTGACAAAGTTTATCCCAAAAGTAAGTAATGAATCAGATCTGCTTTCTTTTGACTCATTTAAATCTTTGTTTAATGTAAAGAAACTTTATTGAGGTGTAATTTACATACTATAAAATTTACCCATTATAATTGTACAGTTCAATAATTTTTAGTAATTTACCCAAGTAGTGCAACCATTACCATAATCCATGCATTTGTTTTTAATGTATTATTTGTTTGGGTTTATTCTCCCTAGGCTCTGATTCCACTTCCTCCACAAGCTTCAGCATGGCCGTATCTCCCACCACTTGTTCTGGTCCAAGGGCAGAAACGAGCATCCTGGAAACCAACCAGTACTTGCGCTCTGAACTGGAAAAATGCAAACAGAACTTCCGAGACCTCACAGAGAAATTCCTGACATCCAAAGCTACTGCCTACTCCCTGGCCAATCACCTGCAGAAATACAGTAGGTCCCATAGGGGCAAGGTCATCAAAGTGATAAATGATTGTCCATTTTCCTCTGTGAAATGAAACACTGCAGACTTTATTCTCTATCACAATTAATTTTATCCTGACTACTCTCCCAAAAAGGTAGAAGTGGGCATTTTACTCTCAATTTGCCAAGGACAGAAAAACTGAGGCACAAAGGTGTAAAGTTTGCAGGGCGAGTGTAGTGAGGAATAGAGACCAAAACCTTGGTTTAGGCATGAAACTGTCTTTCCCTTCTCAGCAATGAGTATCAGCTTCTACAAACATGTAACATCACTGTTGGTTAAAACAGCTCAGGATTCAATTTAAACTTTTTAAAGAACACCCATTTGCACAGCACTGTGCCAACAGCACCAGGGGTGAAAGAGGTAATAGTATATACCCTATCTGCCTTGAAGGAACTTAAAACTACTTATTCTCAACTGAGTCACAGATATGTGGAGATGCGAACTTCAATAGCAAACATGGAGAAAAGTCTTTATTATACCTGGATCAATTTTCTCTTCCCACAAAAGTTCAGATAAGCCATTCCTCATGCTGTGGTTAGATTGAGGGTATTTCCAGAAAAATCAGAGACTTTGTAACACCCTTTCTGTCTCTCTCTGAGTATCAACTTTACGGGCAGCAAACAACTGCAGGTGGACGTCCAGGATCAGAGCTATGAGACATATGGCCAAAATGAGAACAAGGCCAAGTGGAGCAGACCGCCGTTCTCAGTAGAAGGCCAGGCCAGTTTAAGAGCTAGTCCTTTCCTCTCCACAGTTGGCTCTCACATTTTTAAATTCACTGTAAAATCCAAAACCTGTTACTAATAGTCGGGGAAGGGAGAAGCTGTAATGACAGGGAAACATGGGAACAAGGGCATGAGAGGAACAGGGATATTAATTAGAAGAGGATTCTGGTTAACATTGAAATTGAATTTGCTTTCAAATTTCTGCAATTATTTTAAAATAAATCATTGTGTGGGAGGTAACTAAAAGTTGCTGTCTAACTTACTGTGATAGAAAAGTAAAGCCAAAAGCCCACTTACTAAAGAAGTGAAAAGATGAGCTTTGGTGTGTGGAAAAACTAGTTTAAAAAAAACTTCATTCATTATAATTGTAGGAAAAAAAAATTCTCAAGCTAGAGAAGAAGAATCATATTACCTAAGACCTTAGTATAAAGGTATTATTGTGCAGTGATTAAAGAGCATATACCCTAGGGCCAAATTTCCTGGGTTCAAATCTTACTCGTCGTCACTGTGCCTCAGTTTCCTCATCTGTAATGGTAATAGAGTAGTAACTACCTGTTTGGATAGTGGTGATGATCATATGATGATAATTCTTAAAAACCTACTGCAACAGTACCATGACAAACACTACGTGTTGGTTCTCCCTTCAAAATACCACCTATTAGCTTTTGGGCATATATCATTTGGATCTTTCTCCTCCATATACAGCTTTACACAGTTGTATACAGATAAATGTTTAAATCTTTGAAATATTTTGGGATTATTGAAACTCTTGAAGCAGGAGAACCATCAGTCCTACAGTTCTTAGTATCTTCCCAAACACAGGAAGTGACACAGGAAGCCATTATTTCTTGGCCTTATGTTCATGTTTTATTTAAGAGGCTGTAAGGTTTGGTAAATTGGCCTTAAGATTTGAAGTCATGGCCAGGCACATTGGCACACTTACTGTAATCCCAGCACTTTGGAAAGTCAAGGTGGGTAGATCATTTGAGGTCAGGAGTTCGAGACCAGCCTGGCCAACATCGTGAAGCCTTGTCTCTACTGAAAATACAAAAACTAGCAGGGTGTGGTGGTGCACACTTGTAATCTTAGCTATTTGGGAGGCTGAGGCAGGAGAATAACCCGGGAGTCAGAGGTTGATGTGAACCGAGATCATGCCACTGCACTCCAATCTGGGCAACAAAGTGAGATTCCATCTCAAAAAAAAAAGAAAAAAGAAAAAAAGATGTGGAGTCAGACCTCAGGGGATGTGAATTCTGACTGTCTCATTCCAGTTGAATCATCTTGTCAAGTTGTTTTATCAGCCTATGGGTTCTTCTTTCCTCATCTCTAAAACGGGGAGTAGTTGAGAGACTGAGGAATAAAGATATGGAAATCCTAGTGTAAAGCCTGGTACTGGGGATACTTTTATCCTTGAGATAGACCCTGCTTCCTGTCCTGCAGGCAGTGACCACAGCAGCACGTCCAGCCTTCCATGATGCAGGCATGTCTGCCTTTTCTCAGAGTGTGAAGAGTGCAAAGACCTTATAGAATCTGTGCTGGAGGAGGAGCTGCAGTTTCAGGAGAGGGAGCTGGCTGAATTGCCGAGGCCAGCTGCAAGGCTCCAGTAAGGAGGTACCTCTGTGGGAAGTGTATAAATACCGTTTGAAGTGGGGCAGCCTAGGCTGGTAGAACAAAGAGAAAATTTGTGCAAGGAGAAGGGCAGAAATGTATGAAGCAGACACAGAACTAGACTAAGACACAATGAGGCTATGGTCCAGTTAGGTGTCTAGGGTTTTCCATTAAATAGCACATTAGTAAAATGGAGACAGCTGCCTGTGTTGGCGTAATAGCAATGTGGCTTCTATCTGTGTGTCCTTGGTCAAATTTACTTCGCTTTTCTGCATGTCATCAACCTAGGCTACCTCATTTATAAAATGGAAATACTGACAGTATCTACCTTAGAGGGTTATGAAGATTAAATGCACAATTGCAAGTAGTTAGAATCATCTCTAACACATATAAAACTCTGAACAACTATTTTCTATAATTATTATATTTGTTCCCATTTATAGATATGGTGATTGTCATTATCATTTTCTGTAAGAGATATTTTCAAACTTTCCAAAGTGCCTTTCATGATAAGAATGTTTCTCCTCCAAACTTTTTTAAAAAATGTTACACTAGGTGGAGTATTAACTGCTAGGGCTATTGGATAGATAGATGATTGAGCAGCTATTGTGTGGAAAATGAATTATTAATTTGCTCAGGACCAGCATTGACTATCCTTAGAGGGTTTCAGACGTAAAGTAGATTGTAGCATTCAAAACTTCTTTTAATCTTTCTTTTAATGCTTTGTTGAAATGAAATCATAGAAGCTCAAATGTGTAAAACTCACCAAAGCAGAGAGATTTGATTGAAGAGGGGATAGGTCTGGAGCCCCTGCTTCTCCCCAGTATGTGTCTTTACTTCCGCTGACACTTTCTAGTAACTCTAAGGAATAGAGTTTGAAAGAGGACCTGAGGATAACTACTTAGAAGAATATCAGGGAGAAAACTCAAGCATGAGATGGAGTAGATGACTGTAAATGTTCAGTCCAGCTCTGGGACTACATGGTTCTAAACATTAACTGAATAACTACTTGTATGTGTACATACTACCGGGTGCGGTAAGTTGGGTCATAGGTGGCACTGTCCTTAGACTCACAGAGCTCACACTCCACATTTGAACCCACGTGTATTAGTCCATTCTCACACTGCTATAAACACGCATCTGAGACTGGCTGATTTATAAAGAAAAGAAGTTTAATCGGCTCATGGTTCTGTGGACTGTACAGGCTTCTGCTTCTGGGCTGGCCTCGGGAAACTTACAATCATTGTGGAAGTCGAAGGAGAAGCAGGCATGGTCTTCACATGGCCAGAAGAGGAGAGAGAGAGAGCAAAGAGGGAGGTGCTGCACTTTCAAAAACCAGACCTCATGAGAACTCATTCACTATCACGAGAACAGCAAGGGGGAAACCCGCCCCCATGATCCAGTCACCTTCCAGCTGTTCCCTCCCCCAACATTGGGGATTACAATCCAACATGAGATTTGGGTGGGGACACAGAGCCAAACCATATCACCATGAGAAATGCTTATACAATAATTAGAAAACAATGAAATCCCACATAGAGTAATGAAATTACTACTCAGAACTTTACTTTTTTTTTTTTTTTGAGATGGAGTCTTACCCTGTTGCCCAGGCTAGAGTGCAGTTGTGTGATCTCAGCTCACTGCAGCCTCCACCTCCCAGGTTCAAGTGATCCTCCTAGGTCAGCCTCCCAAGGAACTGAGAGTACAGGCACACACCACCATGCCAGCTAATTTTTGTATTTTTAGTAGAGATGGGGTGTCGCCATGTTGGCCAGGCTGGTCTCAAAATTTCTGACCTAAGGTAATCTGCCTGCCTCGGCCTCCCGAAGTGCTGGGATTACAGGTGTGAGCCACTGCACCCGGCCAGAACTTTAGTTTTAATTGCCTTCTTACTGATTATGGTCTATCTTCATGTCATTCAAAAGAATATTGCCCTTCTTGACCTTTTCACTGATTTTTCTTTTTAACTTTCAATAACACCAGAGATACCTGGCCAACATTTTTGAACCTGGCTTTTTTTCTTTCTTTCTTTCTTTTTTTTTTGCCAGTTACTATATAATGCTTAATGTATATTGTACGAAAATGTACTTGGGCTAAAGTGGGGAACCAAAGGGGCATCTTTTTAAAGCAAAGTTAGTAAAATAACAGACAACCCCAAGGCTGTTTCTTCATTCCTTCTGCCACAGGCAAGTCACACAACTTGTACAAGAATTCATCTTGGGCCAGGTGAGGTGGCTCATGCCTGTAATCCCAGCACTTTGGTACAGTGAGGTGCATGAATCATTTGAGGTCAGGAGTTCGAGACTAGCATGACCAACATGGCAAAACCCCATCTCTACAAAAAATATATAAATTATCCTGGCATGGTTGTGGGCACCTGTAGTCCCAGCTACTTGGAAGTCTGAGGCAAGAGAATTGCTTGAACCTGGGAGGCGGAGGCAGAGGCAGAGGTTGCAGTGAGCTGAGATCACATCACTGCATTCCAGTCTGGGCAACAGAGTGAGACTCTGTCTCAAAAAAAAAAAAAGAAAAGAAAAGAAAAAGAAAGAAAAAAAAAAGAAAAAAAAAAGAATTCAACTTGGGAGTTCCTCACAGGGATTCTAAGAGATCTCTCCTCTGAAACTTCTATAATCTATTATTCACTACATTCCCTCTTACTCCTCTTTCCCACCTTAAGATACATGATCCCTTAATTCAGGCTCAGGCTGAAGAACTGACCCACTTTCTACAGAAGATACAGGAAGGGAGAGGTGTCTGCTACCTTTTCACCCAGCATGTGAAGAACACAGTCAAGTCTTTTGGGGGCCTTCTTAGGAACACTGGCATTGCCTACTACCAGAGACAGAGATTCTGTGAGCAAATGGTACAAGGAAGCCAGCTGACAGAGAACCTTGTCAGAAAACTGGCCACAGGTAAGTTGGCTACAGGCTCTGAAGACCCTTAGCTCCTCCCAAGTGCCCCAAAGTGGGGAGAAAAAATGCAGAGTTATCTCCATTGTAAATTTTATCTTAGTTTTGACTATGGTCCTTAATCTGCATTCTATTGTTTTCTCTTTAGAGCACTCAGGTAATCACTTTGCATATTCTTTCAAGAGTTCTGAGTTTTGTTTTTTATTTTGAGACAGAGTCTTGCTCTCTTACCCAAGCTGGAGTGCAGTGACACAATCTTGGCTGACTGTGATCTGTGCCTCCTGGGCTCAAGCATTCCTCCAACCTCAGCCTCCCAAGTAGCTGGTACTACAGGTGTGTGCCACCACGCCTGGATGACTTTTGTATTTTTTGTAGAGACAGGGTTTCTCCATGTTGCCCAGGCTGGTGTTGAACTACTGAGCTCATGTGATCCACCTGCTTTGGCCTCCCAAAGTGCTGGGATTACAGGTGTGAGCCACTGTGTCTGGCCTGAGAGTTCTTAGTTTCAATCAGTAAGAGAGATAGAGTATAGTGGATTACTTCATCTTGATGAGCATAAGAACTCAGCTTCACTTCTGGAAGATATTTTCACTGGGCGTAGGATTCTAGTTGACAGTTTTTGTTTTTAAAGTGTTTGAAAAGTGATATTACACTGTTTTCTGGATTACATTGTTTCCAACAAGAAGTCTGCCATAATTCTTATTTTTGTTCCTCCGTACATAATATGTCGTTTTTCCTCTGGCCACTTTTGAGATTTTCTATTTATCACTGGTTTGAAGCAGTTTAGTTAAGATAAGACCTTGTATAGTTTTATCTTTTACATATTGTTTTACTTTATCTAGTTTCTTGCATCTGCATGTTTATAGTTCTGATCAAATTTGAATAATAATGACATATATGTCTTATACATGGCATATACAATATATTATATATGGCACATGTATATCAAATCTATATAATATATATTCTCTTCTTTCTCTCTAGCCTCTCATTCAAAGACTCCAGTTATATTTGTATTAGCTGCTTTGAAATTTTACCACAGCTGACTAATGGTCTGTTCATTTTTGTTGTATCTTTTTTTTCTCTCTTTGTTTCTATTTCCATGTCTTGAAATTGGTTAATCTTTCTTCAGCAGCATCTGCTGTTAATCCTATCCAGTGTATTTTCATCTCAGACTTTATTTTTCATGTAAATTTAATTTATATCTTTTTTAAGGCCTTCTATGTAACTCTTCATCATTTCATATTTTCCCCTAGCTTGTTTATTTTATTTTATTCTATTTTTTGAGACAGAGTCTCGTTCTGTTGCCCAGGCTGAAGTACAATGGTGAGATTTCAGCTCACTGCAACCTTCGTCTCCTGGGTTCAAGTGATTCTTGTGCCTCAGCCTCCTGAGTAGCTGGGATTCTTGTGCCTGCAGCCTCCTGAGTAGCTGGGACGTGCCTCCACACCCAGCTAATTTTCATATTTTTCAGAGAGATGGTGTTTCACCACATTGGCCAGGCTGGTCACCAACTCCTGACCGCAGATGACCCACCCACCTTGGCCTCGCAAAGTGCCAGGATTACAAGCATGAGCTGCCACACCTGGCCTAGCTTCTTTAATACAAGGAATATAGTTATATTTGTTTCAATGTCCTTGTCTACAGATTCTGTCATCTGTGTCCTTTCTATTGATTTTTTAATTCTCACTTGATGTGTCCTTTCTAAGTCAGTTTAAGCAGATTGATTTTTTTTTCCCCCTTCTTATCATGGATTACAGTTTTCTGTCTCTCTGCATTCCTAACATTATTTGATTTGGTGTTAGACATTGCGAATTGTAACTTATTGAGTGCTGGATTTTTTTGCATTTTGTGTTAAAACTATTTTAGCTTTGTTTTGGTATACAATAAAGTTACTTAAAATCAATTTGCATCTTTTAAAGCTGGCTTTTTAAATTTTTTAGGCAGGATAAGAGCAGCTAGTAGTCAACTGCTATTTTTTTTCCCCACTATGGAGGCAATATGACTTTTAAGAAAATAGATCTTATTTTTTAGAGTAGTTTCAGATTCACACCAAAATTGAGCAGGGAGTACAAAAAGTTCCCATATACACCCTGCCTCCACACATGCATAGCCTCCTAGGCTATCAGCATCTCTCCCCAGAATGGTACATTTGTTACAGTTGATGAACTTACATTGACATGTCATTATCACACAAAGTCCATAGTTTACACTGGGGGCAACACTCTTTTGAAGGTTCTAAGCTAGTGATCTCCCACAGATTTGGCACCAGGGACTGGTTGCATGAAAGACAATTTTTCCACAGACAAGGTGGGGGTGGGATGGTAGGGGTTGGGAGTTGGGTGGTTTCAGTAGGAAACTGTTCCACCTCAGATCATCAGGCACTAGTTAGAGTCTCATAAGGAGCGTGCAACCTAGACCCGTGGCATGTACAGTTCACAATAGGGCTTGTGCTCCAATGCTAATCTAATGCCAGTGCTGATCTGACAGGAGGTAGAACTCAGGCCATAATGCTTTCTGGCTGGCTGCTCACCTCCTGCTGTGCGGCCCCGTTCCTAACAGGGCATGGACCAATGCTGGGGGTTGGCGACTCCTGTTCTAAGCAATGCTCCCTCTATTAAAAGGGATTTTCACTCTAGCTAATGGAAACACCAAATGTTGCAAACTCTGTGTGAACTACAGAGATTATTCCTTTTGGGAAGTTCTCTTCCCTGCTTTGCATAATTTCCTCAAATTCATGTACTAATCAGTACTTAGCTGAAGATTGAAGACAGATATCCAAGGCATTCTGTCTGTGCAGCAATCTAGTCTCTAGTCTGTCCTGTGATGTCTACCCACCCTGACTTCTTCAAACTTACTACCAGGTTCTGCCTGGGTCCTCCCTCCCTGCTCTGCACTTGACAATCTCAGGCAGGAAACTGGAGCAGTCATAGGGCTCACCTCTTTTATTTTCTCTCTCTCAGGGATCACTGTCCTGTACTGCACTATATCCAATGTTGAAGCTAGAGTTTAAAATACCTTTTCCAGTTTCTTAGTTGCTTAAGGTGGAGGACAAATCTGGTCCCTATTACTCCAACTTGGCCAGAAGCTGAAGTCTCCGTTCAATCTTTGTGGTCAGAAAGAACAGCATGACAGAAGGCAGCCTGTTAGAATGGGAAGACCCCTGGACTAAGAATCAGAATTACCTAGGCTCTAGCCTCAGCGCTGTATTTACTAACTTTGTGCAAGTGATTGATCCTTCTTGAATTTCTGTTTTCTCATTTGTAAAGTGGGTCAAATCATAATTCCACAGCTGCTGTACAGATCGGTTGAAGTAGTGTCTTAATGTTCATGAGTGTATTTCTCTTTCAGGGTTATTTATTTATTTATTTTCAGGTCCCGATAAACTGTCCAACTCTTTTGGAGTTAGTTTAGGGACAAGATATAGTAGAAACTGATGTTAGAAAAGTTGATTTATACTGGAATATTTTTCACAGAATCACCCCCAATTTTCACTAACAAACTGAGAAGAAGAGAAAAAGAATTACCCCCAAGAACATTGGAGGAAGCACAACAGGGACAGACTTGAAGGCACCTGGGCAGTCCTCTGGTTTTGCAGTAGGGGTAGGACAGGGCTATGTGTCCTCTCCAAGACTGGAGCAGGTTCTGTGTGTGAGTAGCAAGGGGACAAACAGTCATGGTCTTGGCAACCAGCCTGTGACAGGAAGGAAAGTTACAACTGGAGAAGTCCAAAGGGCAGCCAGGCAAGTATTCTTTGAGCTGGGGAACAAAAGACATTTTAAACTTTTTGCTCTGCTTCAGGCAGCTGATGTCATGGTGATGATTCACCACATCAGGAACACCCTGTCCAGTGGGCTCAGGGAAGCCCGCCAGGCCACTTCTCTAAAGACACAACCTGAGGCCTCCTGCAAAAATTCTCACAGAGCATTCTGAACACACATGTCAAGTGTTATGTCCCTGATCATATAGGCCCCATGTGTGCAATGTGTGAAATGGGACCTGCTTAATTTCTGACCAGCTCTTTCTAATTTTGATTTGCAGAAAATCACAATGGTAAGAAAAATGAAGACAGGCAAAAGCTACTGGCTCCCAGGTAACTCTGAATGATGAAGGGGCTGATAATGGACTGACCAAATCTAAAGAGAATTCCAGAAACAAGGGTTCAAGAGGTTAAAGGTCCCAGATCTAGAAAAAGCAGAAACTGCTGAGTGTACCTTTTTTTGTTGACTGATTATATAACGTACCCTTTAAAAAATGGTTCTCTGTTCTCTTTGCAATTCTTGTATTGGTTCTTATTTCCTAGTAATTTCTCACACTTAGTTAACTAGTCAGTCTTACTGAAAAGTAAACTAACCAGGGATCCCTGGTTTCTGTATCTTTAAAATCTATATGGTTGCAAACCAAAGTGAGATGCCTATCTGGTTTCTGCACAGTTTTCCTGAATTATGTTGGCAGACGTTTTATAGCCAGAAAATTACCTTGAAAATAAACTGAAACCATAGCAAGTATTTAGAGCTAGGGGTCTCAAATCTGCAAAAGCCCTGGGATGTTACATTGTCTCAAGAGCTGGTATTCAATGGACCACTCCACATCATATTAAATAAAATTTGAACACAGCATTTTGAAGCCAATAGTATGAATCTCTGTGTGTCCTGTGTGCCCTGAGTGTATTTTAGAGTAGTTGTTGAGTCTGCCTTCTTATCTGTGTGTTATGAGGTCAAAGCACTGATCACTTGCTGTTTTCACTTCTATACTAACTCTTGGCCCACTATACTCCCAGTCAAAAGTGGATTGTATACTTCCTCTTTGATATGATGGTCCATTTGGTTTTGGTGCCTCTTCCATGAGCTTCAGATCAGAACTAGCTATGAAGCTGTGGTTCCAGGCTGCCTTGGTTTAATCCCTTGTCTTGCCTACTCCACCAGGCTCAGGAGGAAGGTCTTGGAGGAAGAAATGGATGAAGTCCTGGAGGACTCACTAGATGAACAGCATTTGACTCATTCCAGCTGCCATGTCTCCCACCAACTTCCCAGCAGCAATGCCTTCCTCTTTGATGCACAGGAAGACTCCTCTGCTCTGGATATACAGTGAGTGCTCCTTTGATAAGAAAAATAAAGCTCCATCAATCTCTCAGTAGCTCCTACATTCTACATGCTCAACACCTCTGTCTAAACTGAGAGATGTTATTCTCTGCATGCAGGTCCTAAATATTCACTTTAAAAAAGTGATTAGGCTGAACATAGCTCTGGGATCAAGTCTCAAGTACAGTTCCCTGTTGGGTCAAGTAATTTGCTCTGCTCCTGTCCTCACCTCAGTTCCTCTGACCCCAAATGGCATCTGCAAGCTGGTATACTCAAAGCAGGCCAGAATGGAGAGAGTGAAGAGATTATGGCAGACTCTCTGCCACTACTGCAGCACATGTACAAATCCGTTTAACAGATCTCCTTCTTTAAAATGGGATATCTTATCTTTCCTGAAGAAAAAAAAAAATTTATATATACATATAAATTATATATATATAAATATATATAATATATATAAATTTTATATATATATATATATATATATAGAGAGAGAGAGAGAGAGAGAGAGAGAGAGATAGGGTTTCTTGTTCTGTCATCCAGGCTAGAGTGCAGTGGCATGATCTCAGCTCACGACAACCTACAACCTAGATCAAATGACCCTCCCACCTCAGCCTTCTGAGTAGCTGAGACCACAGATGATGCCACTACTCCCAACTATATTTTTGCCTTTTTGGTAGAGACAGGGTCTTGCCTTGTGGCCCAGGCTGGCCTCAAACTCCTGAGGTCAAGCAATTCGCCGACCCCTGCCACCTAAAGTGCTGGGATTATAGACGTGAGCCACCGCGCCCAGCCTTCCTGAAATATTCTTGATGATTATAGTTCCTGAACAGTTTTCCCAAGCTGTTCTAGCCATCCCAAGAATGTTGGCAGGCTTGTCCATATGTTTGGAGGTGCAATTATAATGCTTCCTGGGTTTCAAGCTCCAGTCTCCATCTCCCCTCAGGAGCTTGCTTTCCCCTAAGGTTCCATCTGACTACTAGAATATCAGGGGACTTCCATAAAGACAAGACTTTGGTCTTGGCAACCCTTTGGTGAATAGCCCGGATTCTCAATCTTTGTGCAGCACCAAGGTATTTTTACGATCTCTGTTAGTTTAGTCTCAATGTTGTAACTCAGTCTAAATAAACAACGAGGCTATCTGCTGGAGAAAAGGCTGAATCTAACAGCAATGCCACCAGCATGCCCTCTTCCCAGAATAACTCCACACTAGCCATTGGAGCTTCTTTAGGTATGTAAGAGCCCTTTGAGTTGGTAGCCTCACTGCTGTGTGTATAGATTAAAACTTTGACCTATATCTCCTCTCCCTTACTTGAATGTTTGACTTGACTTTGGGGCAAAAGTTTGGATTGTTAGGGAACTATATGCTTTATATACTCTTCTATGCAATAGAAAGAGACTCATTGAGCTTTCATAGTAATATAAACCATATTAGGTTTGTCATTTTGCCAGGGATGGGTATAAGTGGCTTTTATTACTCATACCATCCTCTGACAAAGGCATCCTTATTACTCTTTCCAATTTCACAACAAGGGGCAGAAGAAGGTCTTTACCATCTGTTAAAGATGTTCAGGGCTGGGCACGGTGGCTGACACCTATAATCCCAGCACTTTGGGAGGCCTAGGTGGGTGGATCACTTGAGGTCAGGATTCGAGACCAGGCAGGCCAACATGCTGAAACACCGTCTCTACTAAAAATGCAAAAATTAGCCAAGCATTGTGGTGCACGCCTGTAGTCTCAGCCACTTGGGAGGCTGTGGCATGAGAATCCTTTGGACCTGGGAGATGGAGATGCAGTGAGCTAAGATGGTGCCTCTGCACTCCAGGTTGGGCGACAGAAAGAGACTCTGTCAAACAACAACAACAACAACAACAACAAAAAAGATGTTCAGGAGAGATATTTTGTAGAGAGCAAGATATTCCCTAGTACCTATAAGTCATCTCAAGGAGGTGGTCACACCTTTCCTAGTGCTAGAAAAGCCCTACTCAGGGACCTTCAGTGTTTTCCCACCTCCTGTCAACCTGCCTTATACTTCCCATATCTCCATGTGGGAGGCATCCCTGTGGAGTCTGCTTAGCACTTGGCCATGCTTTGTTTGAAACCTTAAAAGCTCTTAAAGAAAGTTGCCTTATGTTCCCTGATGAGAAGATGAAGTTGGCAAAAGCATGGTGAAGGGCAGGGATCTTGATGAGAGGCCCCTGACTACCCCTTCAGTGATCGGCATTCTTCATTTCCCATCTCATTCCATGTCCTGGTGGAACGGCTGCAGAAGATGAGATCCAGAGCCAGCGGCAGCACCTGAAGGAAACCCTTTTCATCAACAACTGCCTGCGAGAAAAGCTGGAACGTCATCTCAGCAGCTTTGATGAAGAAAATGGTAGGAGAGGCCCAAGTGATCTGCTTCTGGCAATATGTATTGTTCTAAAGGCATGTGACTGGGGCAGAGTTTTATAGATTTCAAGCACTTTGACATACTTTACTTCACTTATTCATTACAAATGTCCCAGCTAGAGAGTTAGGGCAGCTACTATCATTCCTATTTATAATGAATATATAGGCTTAAAGATTTGCCTCCATCTTAGAGGTGTCTACCTCTAAAATCATTCTTGTGATTCCCAGGCTGTCTGCTGTCTTCTTTCTGCTGCTGTACACCGCCTGCTGTCTCTCTGCTTCTTACGTGATTGGCATTCAGTAGAACACAGGTTTCTGAGCACCTCATGTAGCAGAATGAGAGTGTCCTCTGCTGCCATCCTCATCAGCTTCCCTTATGTCTTGATTACTCTTCATTCTACCACCCCAAGGTGGTTCTCTCCAACCCCCTCCTCTTCGATTGCTCTCACACAGAGGCCATCATTTCGTAACATTGTGCTGGGCCAGAAGAACAGTAACCAGGTCCCTTCCCATACCAAAGAAGCAACTATTTCAGGAAAGCCTCCTTCATATTTCAGCCATTGGACATGATAATACATGTGACGTGCTGGCATTGGTTGAGAATCATGATTAAGCTTCTGTCCCATCACACTAAAGTTCCAGCCTTGAGTCCCCATGGTTTTCTCCCTAGGCTAAGATAGAGAGGAAGAACATGGAATGTGCAGAAAGCATTCTCTTAAGCAAACGTGTATGACTTGCCTAAATTGTAATTATTACCTGGAACAGGATGCACCTCTAACCTCTACAGGCAGATCATAGATTCCGTTGTCCAGCTGTATAATGAAAACAGAGTTCTCAGAGAAGAATACCGGAGACTCCCCCGGCTTGCCTGAATCAAATTTCCAGAGGTAAGTGGTGAAAGGTCACAATATGAAGTCACTCCCAGATGGGTCCCTTCTCTTGTCACACCCCACTGTAGAAACAAAAGAGGACAGGGCGGCCAGAGCTGCTCAAAGACTTATAACCCACAATTCTCATAGTTATTCTCAACTTAGAGACGGCTGCTTTCTAGATGCACCCCCTCCAAGCCCCCAGACTGCCAGCCTCCAGGATTAAGTAGCTCTAAGAAATATAGTATTTCAGTGCACTCACACTCCACTATTGCAAATTGGAGAAGAAAAGGACAAGCTTAAAAGGTGAAAAGATTTAAGAGAACAACATTGTGAAACCCCGTCTCTACTAAAAATACAAATATTAGCAGGGCGTGGTGGCACGTGCCTGTAGTCCCAACTACTCGGGAGGCTGAGGCAGGAGAATCATGTAAACCCAGGAGGTGGAGGTTGCAGTGAGCCAAGATTGCACCACTGCACTGTAACCTGGGTGACAGAGTAAGACGAAAGAAAGAGAAAGAAAGAAAGAAAGAAAGAAAGAAAGAAAGAAAGAAAGAAAGAAAGAAAGAAAGAAAGAAAGAGAGAGAGAGAGAGAGAGAGAAAGAAAGAAAGAAAGAAAGAAAAAGAAAGAAAGAAAGAAAGAAAGAGAGAGAAAGAAAGAAAGAAAGAAAGAAAGAAAGAAAGAAAGAAAGAAAGAAAGAAAGAAAGAAAGAAAGAAAAGAAAGAAAGGAGGAAGGGAGGGAGGGAGGGAGGAAGGGAAGGAAGGAGGGAGGGAGGGAGGGAGGGAAGGGAGGAGAGAGAAAGAGAAAGAAAGAAAGAAAGAAGAAAGAGAAAGAAAGAAAGAAAGGAAGAAAGGAAGGAGGAAGGGAGGGAGGGAGGGAAGGAAGGAGAGAGAAAGAGAGAGAAAGAAAGAAAGAAAGAAAGGAAAGAAAATATTTAAGAGAACAATTATTTTAATTGAATACATTTTGTCAAGATTAAATCAACTTTCCCCTAGAGTACTGAAAGAATAAGCAATCATAATTTAGATTATAAGTTACCAGTCTTTGAGAAAGTGTGAAAACCAAAAAGGTGCCATAAGCCAATAAAGGAGCAAAAGTCTTAATTTTCAAACTGATGAAAATAAAGTACTAAAAAATTGAAATCGTCATAGTTCATCTTGGTCCTTGGCAAAATAAAAATGTATAATGTATTGATTCAAATTATAATATCCTAGCTACCTTATTGTGCCTAGCTCTTACCACTGAGGAGAAAAACCAATGTTCAGATTGGCACAAATGTTTACAAACCTGCAAAATCTCTTCAGCCTATCCCTTAAACTCCAGACTTGGTATTTAGTAAGCTCTGCTGTGTACAATACCCACCTTAAATATCCATTCTTGCACAAGTTCTGTTAGGTATAAACCAAGATCACATGGGATTTTTTTTTTCCCCCTCTCATGCCTGTGTTTGTTTTTGCTTCCAAAGACCCTTCTGAGTTAGGACTGTCCTCAGACTACTGGAGTCTCTTAGTCACAAGCTTGCCTGAGGCTCAGAGCTGGCAATACCTGGGAGTTTATGTCAATCCCACAGCACCCAGCAACCCCGCCTGCAAAGTATTTACCCATGATTGTCAGGTGCAGGTGTATGAAGGTCCAGCTCCTTGACTTGAGCAGTGCCTTTGTGGTGAATTAGCTTTGAGAAAAGGGAATCCAGAGGCCAGCTTTGTAAAAATCCAGATAGATAAATGGAAAGAAATCTTTGCCTTGGCAGTCCAATTGAGAAAGATAGTGATTTACTTGAGACTGTGAAAAGAGAGACTGACATCTTCCCTTTCACATGGGAAAGAAGCCTATGGTGAAAGAGAAACAAAGACAATGGTGGGAAATAGGGTGGGTCTACTCAGTAGCTTTAAACCATTCTGTCACATTATAAAGACTGGTGAAGTTTTTAACTAACACAAGTGCCTGGACTGTACACACAGAGATTCTGACTTAAATGCTTCCAGGTGGATGGAAGCCACTAGTAGTCTTAAAAAGCTCCCAAGTAATTTTTACATGTGGCTAAAGAGGAAAAGGACCATCTATCCACTAGAATCTCAAGTCACCAGCATAGAGGTGTCCCAAATGTGCAGCTATCTCATAGAAAAGGCTTAACACCACCTATTGATGGAATTTGCCTTCCTCTCTCCATGGTCTTGTTTGCATAGCATGGAAAAAAGAGAAGAGAAAAAGAGGTCGATGGATAGATTGAACCTATAATTTGCCTACATAGAGCAGTTTCTCAAACTTTTCTGACCACAAGATGCAGTGAGAAATATCTAATTCTTTGTGATCATTTTTTTAAAAACCTTTTACTATGTGTAATCCACCCTACCTAGTATTTAAATAAAGCCTGTAGTAGTACGCAGTCCACTATATTGATTTCACAACCCATAAGTGGTTAAGAATTGCAATTAGAAAATTTTTACTTTTGGCCAGGTGTGGTGGCTCGCGCCTGTAATCCCAGCACTTTGGGAGGATCACCTGAGGTCGGGAGTTTGAGAACAGCCTGACCAACATGGAGGAACCCCGTCTCTACTAAAAATGCAAAAAAAAAAAAAAAAAAAAATTGGCTGGGCGTGGTGGTGCATGCCTGTAAATCACAGCTACTTGGGAGGCTGAGGCAGGAGAATTGCTTGAACCCCAGGGGCGGAGGTTGTGGTGAGCTGAGATTGCACCATTGCACTCCAGCCTGGACAACAAGAGTGAAACTGTCTCAAAAATAAAAAAATAAAATAAAAAGAGAAAAGAAAAAGAAAAGAAAGAAAGAAAAAATTTTCACTTTTGCTCAGCTTTTTTATCAAGCAAAATCACAAAAGAACATTTACTGTAAAAGAACATTTACTATAAACATCTTTCTGTGAATCCTTATTTCTGTCCCAGCCACCATGACCCAATAATCTCTAGAGGCTGTTAGTGTTCTCCAGATTGAATCCTTCCCTCTAACTGCTCCTGAACTCTGTGATGTCGTGGAAAAGGTTTGAGGCCTCGATTCTCATCCCAGGTTTTTCACCTACAGATCACATGGTCTTAGCCTCTTGACACCATTGTCTCCTTATGGCCAAAGATGGAACTGTACTTGGGTGATATCTGAGCACCCTGTTGGCTTTGATGTTCTAGGGCATCTTCCCTTGGCACCACTCTCTTAATTAAAAGGAATAGGATGTGGACTTAGGAGGGTTATTTCTCTGCAAACTGTCCTCTCTTTCTTACAAGCTATTTCTGAATGTGCACATTTGAGGCTAAGCAAATCCCTTCCTGGAGGTGGGAAAGACCTTTATTTCTCTTCACAGGAGTATTATGGAGAGTCAGTTGATGCTGAGGAGGTGGTAGAGACCTAGCTAACTCATCTGCAGTGGCTTTGAGCAAGGCTTTTAGAATCATAAGGTGGCTGAGGTCCTGTGTCCTACACCACAGGCCAGCTAGTTCATTTCAGGAGACTTTCTTTTCAATCTATTATTACTATCTTTTTCTAGGCCAGAGATTATCTTCACTACCAGAGATTATCCACTTAACTGCACTCAGTTTGCACCTGGCCTGTATCACCACTTAGCTCTCAGTCCAGCCTCAGTTAAGTATCAGCAAGACCTCACCAAAGGTTATTGTTTCGCTGTGTGTGTGTGTGTGTGTGTGTGTGTGTGTGTTTCAGGTAACAACTAATGTTGGAACTATCAAAAGCTCTTCTCTACTTTTAACAAAGCTTAGTCACAAACAGCTCCCCAGTTGATGAGAAAAACTGAAACAACAGAACGATTGAAAGTCCAAATCTGAAAACTCCATCCCTGAGAAGCAAATTTTACAGCCACTCCAGATTTGTACTCCAAATGGATAGTTTGATTGTAGAAATCACATCCCTTCAGCCTGCAAATATGATAACTGCCCAAGAAACAGTGATACCTAGATTCATAGATAATCCCCTTTCCCCCAACCTATATATAACTGGAGTCAACAGCAGCTGGAGGAAAATGGCAAGGACTTGGAATCAAGATTAAGTTAGAATAACACTGCTGTAGACTGTTTATCAGCTCTTCAGCGTATGTCCGTTTTCCTCGAAGGATGAGCGTTTAGAAACCTCTGACAATAAAGTTTATTTTACACACATTCTCTTGCCTATGATTTCTTTGTACAAATCACAATTATAAAACTTTCTTGCTCCAGCTAAAAGCAGGAAACTCAATCACGAATGTATTCACTACATGTATACCACAAAATGATAGCAACCAGTCTGAATGCATCACTTGATTCCAAAATTAAATGTTAGCACTCAGTAGTGAAACTACATGTATCTCCAACTCTGGAAGCCGCAGGCAAGATATTCCTGTTTCCTTGCAAGGAAACAGATCTATAAGCAGGGCAGCAGTGTCACACATGTACATTCCTGGGAAACCCAAGGAAACAATGACAGTGACGCAGGGCAGGCGAGCCCCAAAACTGGTTTGTAGCCTGGGAAATTTCTCCCAGACTGTTGTAGCCAAGGAAAGAATTCAAGGGCAAGTCGCTGGCGAGAGAAAGCAACTTTTATTGAACTGGTGCTGCTTCTTGCAGAGCAGGGCTAATCCATAGGCAGTGTGCCCAGAGTTGGTGCCTGTGGGCTGCTAGTTAGTTGTATTTAGACCCACTTTTAATTACATGCCTATTAAGAGGCAGGCTATTCAGAACTTTCTGGAAAAGGGGCAGGGAGTTTCCAGAACCATATAAAGTAACTTTCAGGTCATTGCCAAGGTTTGTTGCCATGACATTTGTAAACTGGCCATGTCCAAGTGGTAGTGTCTTTATGCTCATAAGCAGTGAGGGCAACTAGAGGTCACTTTTGTCATCATCTGCTGGTTCCAGCAGGCTTCTTCACTGCGCCCTGTTTTGACCAGATCCTGCTCTGTTCAATGGGGTTGTGACTGGATAATAAGTCCTACTGGTCTCCCACCTCATTTCCCCATCAGAGATTCTATACTCCTGCTTAATCTTAAGGGGCTTGCAGAAGGGTGGAGGTTCATCTTCTGTAACTGCTTCCTGCTGATGTTATGGGCACAGACCCTGCCTAGCATTGGAGAAGTAAACTCTCTGGATACCTGTTCTAAAAGGCCCAAAGGCAGGATGTCTTTATTTTCTGGGTCAGAAGAGGGGATGGGTTGAAAGCCTTGTGCCAGCATCATCTTTACATGGAATTATTGTAATCTAGAAGACACAAACTTTACAAGGTACAAGCAAGGACCAAAGATTAGTAATAATCTTGGTTTCTTCCAATGCCAAGAAGCCTTAGAGAGTCAGCAGCAGTAAAAGTGGGCAATGAATCATAACTTTTCTCACTGTTCATAATATCCCCCATAATCCCAGTATAATATGAAAATGGTGTTATCCTCAAGCCCTTCACCGTAATATCCAATAGATGTTAAGGGTACAGCATGAGATGATCTCGGCTGTACTTTAGCAGTTCCTCATTCATCTTTCTTGACATGTTTAAATTATAGATAATTTCCACCATCCCAAAAAGGTCTGTAGATGCCAGGCACGGTAGCTTATGCTTGTAATCCCAGCACTTGGGAGGCTGAGGTGGAAAGATTGACTGAGCCCAGGAATTTGAGACCAGACTGGGCAACATGGCAAGATCCCCATCTCTATAAATATTATTTTTTCATATTTAAAAAATAAAAAAAAATTAAAAAGGTCTGTAGAGTCCCTTTCCAGGCAATCCCACCCTTCTACCCTTAGTTAATCACTATTCTGATGTTTATCATCATAGATTATGTTGCTCTCTTCTTCAAATTCACATAAATTCATTCTTTGTGTTATGCATTTTTTTCATGTCTTTGAAGTGTATTCATATTATTATATGTATCTGGCTTATTTGGATGTTACTGGTGAGCGTTATTCCAATATGTGAATACACCACATATTGGAATATGTTGGTGGACAATTTGGTTATTTCTAGTTTGGACTATTATGAAGACTGCTGTGCATGAATATTCTTGTAGAAATCTATTTATCAACAAATACTCTGTGTTTTCTTAGATTTTGTATTTGTCTTTATTTGGCATCTATTCATCACAGGACAATTACAATAACTGTATTTTCTTATTTTCTTTCTTTCTTTCTTTCTTTCTTTCTTTCTTTCTTTCTTTCTTTCTTTCTTTCTTTCTTTCTTTCTTTTCTTTTCTTTTCTTTTCTTTTCTTTCTTTTTTTGAGATGGGAGTCTCGCTCTCTCACCCAGGCTGGAGTGCAGTGGCACGATCTCGGCTCACTGCAAGCTCCGCCTCCCAGTTCAAGTGATTCTCCTGCCTCACCTTCCCCAGTAGCTGGGACTACAGGCACCTGCCACCACGCCTGGCTAATTTTTTGTATTTTTAGTAGAGACTGGGTTTCACCGTGTTAGCCAGGATGGTCTCGATCTCCTGACCTTGTGATCCGCCCACTTCGGCCTCCCAAAGTGCTGGAATTACAGGCGTGAGCCACCGTGCCCGGCCCTTTACTTTTTTCTTAAAACAATTTATTGATGTATGCTTGGTATACTAAAAGCTGTACATATGTAATGAACACAACTTGCTGAGTTTGGAAATAAGTATAGACCCATTAAATCATCACCACAATGTACACAATAAAACTATTGAGCTGGGTGCGGTTGCTCACACCTATAATCCCAGCACTTTGGGAGGCCCAGGCTGGTGGATCACTTGAGGTCAGGAGTTTTATACCAGCCTTCCCAACATGGTGAAATACCATCTCTACCAAAAATACAAAAATTGGTCAGCACGGTGGCACACACCTGTAATTTCAACTACTCGGGAGGCTGAGACATGAGAATCACTTGAACCTAGGAGATAGAGGCTGCAGTGAGCTGAGATCGCACCACTGCATTCCAAGCTGGGCAACAAAGGGAGACTCCATCTCAAAAAAAAAAACCAAACTATTTGCCACCTCCAAAAGTTCTCTCCCGCCCTCTTTGATTATTATTATTATTATTTTAAGTTTTATATTCTAATTGATACAAAACAATTATACATGTTTAGGGGAGTATATATAATATTTTGATACATGCCTACAATGTGTAATGATCAAATCAGGATGTTTAGGATATCCATCATCTCAAACATTTTATCATTTCTTTGTGTTGGGATCATTTCACATTCTCTCTTCTTAGCTCCTTTGAAATGTACAATATACTGCTATTAACTGTAGTCATCCTACTGTGCTGTTTCTTTTCTGAGACTCTACCTAACCCCTTGATGTTCCAACTGCTGTGGTTGTCTAAACTTTGTCCTCTATTTCTTTAACCTAGGAAGACAGTTTGATTTTGTATTGTAATTTAGCTAACCCAAGTAAGGTGGAGCAAAGTTTGTTTTATAAACTAAAAATAAAATCCTAAGTCCCCTAACTGACTAAATGGACCCCTGTTGGCCAAAGGGACCCTAGGCAAACCTTCAAAACTGAGTCCCAGGCCAAGAAGGAACAGGAGGCCAGAAAAGCCTTATTATATTCCCAGCCTTTTGCAGTTTAGACAAAACTGACCGATATTAATGTTATCACAGAGATCATAACGCTGACAGAACGGACTCTTTATGGCAATAAGACACCAAATGATAAATAAGACACCATGCCAGGCAAGGTTAACTCATGCACCCCCTACATGCAAAGAATAAACTATGTTCTAACTGCCACAAGGTTTTTTTTCTAGCAGCTAAACAAGCACTGGCCTTGAGAATAGGGAGTGTTGAAGCACTTGCTGCTCACCCCTCACCAGATACTGAACCCCGCTGTTCCACAAGCCATAACTACAGCCTTGACTGACAAGAGACTGATTTCAGTAACTTTCTTCTGATGAGAAGACCAGCGACCATGGACTGGTTCTGTCAGTTTTACAGTATCTGTGCATTTGAGTGCCTTTGTGTCCTGAAAAGACCTTTGTGTATAGGGACTAATTGTAATGCATTTAAATGCTAAGTATCCATAACAAGGTGAACAAGGTTGTATATTATGTGAATGTTTGTTCAATAAGCATGCATCAGGATCCCCTTCATAAATATTCATGAATCCTCCTATAACTTGTTGAATATGTATGTTAGGCCAACCCATTCAACTTAAATTCCTGTCTTGCCCCTCCCTCCCTCAAAGTGCCTGCTTCTGGGCTTCCTGCATTTCCCAGCCTGTCAGGATGACCACCTTACACGCTGTAACTCTTTATAAGAAATAAATTCTCCTCTGTAACCTCACAAATTGTGTGGTTTTTCGGTTAACAGCTCTCTGCCGAAAGTTTGCAAAATGGGAAACTCACTACATGCCGTTCTTCCACATGTCTGCCTGCTTTTGTTCAGTCTTCCAGCACCTTCAAATATATATATATATATATGTTTCTAATTTATAGTCGTTATCTGTGGGAGAGTTACTCTGAAAGCAGCAAGCAGCCATTGCCAGACGCAGAACTCATTCTGTCAGTAATGACAGCCCAGCAAATAAGGCAGGAGCCCCACCCAGCTGTGGATCAATGCATGGCTGTATAACCTTGAACAAGCTGCTTAGTCGACCTCTGAAGTCAATACTGATGTGTGAGAAATGGAGATATGAAAAGAACTGGAGTGCTAGGGTGCCCAAGGGAGAAAAGAGTAGGTAACAAGGTTTTCGGTCGGGAGCATGAGAAACAGGCCGAGGGTCGCCATTAACTCCCCTTCTTCACCAGAGTTTTCTGAAACCCAAGACTACAGAACCTCTCCTGCATCTGAGCCTCGGGGCACATCGCAAGTTCCAGCAAAACGGGGGAAGATTGCCTGCTTTTTGGAGACCTTACAAAACACATATTCCATGACCGGGAATCGAACCCGGGTCGCGGCACTGAACCGAATCGTAGCCACTAGGCCACCAGGGAAGTGCCAGCAAGCGTTTTTCATTCCTGTTGCCTTCCGAAGGTTTCTCCAAAAGGTGAACCTACCCGCAGTGCTCACGAAGGCTGCCAAATGCACAAGTCAAAACTGATCTAGACGCTCTGAAGTCCGCTGTGCTCCCTGAGGAGTGCGGAGCCACTGGAATCGCAAGCAGCTTCAGACAGGAGCCAATGAGGCCATTAAAACCCTCAACAGAGGCATCTGTGAGTTCACTGTGGTGGCTGCAGACACCAC